CTCCTCTGGAAGGACTGTCAAGGGATGAAAGGATTCTGAGCATGGCGACACACAGTATGATATAATGAAACTGAAGTGCCAGCTGGCAGGTTAACACGTTTTGCCAAACTGATTTAGAACCCACCAGGCCACCAGTGAACTTAGTTGAAAGAAACTTCTTGCTCTCAGCTAATGGATCTTCCATCCCAGATTATGCTGGACTGAACTCAACTGCTTGTTTTGTTTTGGTTATAACCTTTCTGGGGAGTAAGGAACTGTGCCCGAGAGCATGCTCTGGTAGCTAGACCTCTACCTGCTGGTCAGGAGCTTTGGGCACTATTTCTGACTACATGATTTTTAGCATGCTGCTTTCTGGATTCCACCATCACGTGCACCATCCTTTGGGTAGGAACTACGGGTACCACTCCGCTTTGTGCTTCACAGACAAGCTCCAATGCAAACTTTGGTTTGCACACACTCCAAGTAGTCGTCTTTGGACAAGCTGTCATGTGTACCAAGAGAGATGACTTCCACCTGCATGACCCTGCAGTTGGCCTATACTTGCCTAACGTGTCCCAGCAGCCCTCAAGATTTCACAATGTACACTGTTCTGAGCAATTGAATTGGCTCTGGACTCCCACAAGAGCAGACTGGTCACAGGCAACCAGACTCCAACCCTCCTTCCTCAAATGACCACGCGGCATTCAGCCGCAGGTGTCCGACATTTGACAAGCCTGGTCAGGAACCTGTCAGGCTTTAACCTCCATCTTCAGACAACGCTGACACAACCACTCTGGACAGAAGCACAGTACGCTGTCACTACATTAAATCTGTTCAGAATTATGCTGCACTGGTGGTCAACCCATTGTGCCCTGAACAACTGAGACATGCCTCTTTAAAAAGTATGAATAATTTTAACTGTTAATCCTCCTCCACATTTTTTATGGTAAGAAGTTTATCAGGAAGTAAGAAAACATAAAAATCCTGACTACCCAGCCACAGCCAATCAAATTTAAACTTCGTACTTTTCACAGGGTAGGGAAAAAAACAGAGGCAACAACTACAGTAACTAGGATAAAAACTTTACTAGACACATTTTGACCATGCTGACCCTGCTCAGCAGGTCACTAGACAGGACTGAAGAGAGGGGTGTAAAAAAGTGATCTCCACAGAATAACTGGAGCTTCTCAGTCTCAGTGGGAAGGTCTACGGCTTTTATAATCATCACCTATTCTAACACTGGGTGTCTGAAAATAAACAGGGCTGTTAGCCGTGTAGCAGTGTTTGCAATTCTGATCGCTTAGTGCTGAACTATTCTAAAATCAGTTTTTACTGTATCACTAGTCAAAAAACAAAGCTAACGAAGATGCTGTTTAAAGAAGCATGTTCCACAAACGACACTAACCTCAGGTAACCCGCATCATCTAAACAGACTTGCAAAATTGTCTCCTTTTTTACAACACACCCAGTTCTGAGTATTGATATTTTCCCCTGTGATATCACCTTTTACTTAGAATAGCATTTTTCATCCCAGAATGTGGTCACTCCACCTACCTGCAAGATGAAGGTGACTATACACAGCGATGAAGGGAAACTATGCAAAGGCACATGAAACACTGTGAGAAGAAACAATGAGAATAGCAGGGAGAACAAAAATTTGGAAGAATCGTATTATCTAGATTAGTATCTGGCCAGCAAACTGGGGTTAGCGTTCTGTTCTCGTACATGGACAGAAAAGGACCCTGCTTTAAATTTCAGTGAACAGATGGTGAAATCCCACTTCCCGCTACTTCCATGCTGGGAGAGTAACTCGATACTGCATCAGCCAGGAGACCGACACCTACAGAGCTGCGAGAACACTCCGCATGGAAACTGGCCTCTCCTTGGAGGTCTCCTAACCAGGACCCCTGCCATATTATTTAAAGAATGTAACACACTCAAACCTGAGATGGCTTTGGAAATCGCAGGCAGAAGCTGATGCACTGTGCCCTGATTAGCCTAATGCAAGATAATGTGTATATTTTTATGCCGTTATACTTAATTGCAATTGCATTTTAGTGGCCTCCATGATAAGGACAGATTATGTTTGGTGTCATTACTACCAGCGTAGCTACCCAGAGAAAGTCGTCACAAAGTTTTGTTGCAGAAGACATTAGTGAATATCACACCACGTACTATTAAAATAGAAAAAAATATCATTCCATTCACAACCAACGTCATCACTACACGGATCTCTCGAATTTGCAGTGGTTTGCATCAGCTTCGAAACAGCAATACAGAAAAAGTGCACAGAAGCAGAAATCCAACCTGAGAGACAAACAAACCAAGCCCTTCCCCTCCAAGAACAGATGCAAGCAAACTTGTAACCACCAGCAATGTACTGCTGAAGAAATGCAGCTTTACACACCTCTGAAGAGTGGTGTTTCGAACACGTCACAGAATGGGGATATAGGCTTACAGAGACTGCTACCGGTTTTAAGGCTCTTACATCTCTGTTCTTCGAGTCCTGAAAGGCTATGTGGTCTCTTCCACGTAGCAGCTTTAGTAGCTACTAATAAAACAGCACCAACTTACCTTTGTTGCAGTCTTATTGAAATGAAGAAGAAATAAACCTGCAAACCAATTTTGAGGAAAAGAAATACTTGCTTTTAACCGGTGTGCAATTTTTTTTAAAAAGGAAATTTTTCGGAAGTGCGATATTTAAACAAAAGTGGCAAAAGATCATACCGTTGCTGTGCTTCATTTTGTTAGGCAAGTGAAACGTTAGAGCCCTCAAATTTTCACCTACTTCATATTTCAGTCTTAGAAAGTGTTACATCAGCATAGTCGCCAGGTAAAGCTGCTAGTTTATTCTAAATGGACTTTCTTCAGACACTGGCATAGATGATGAGTGATTGTCCAATTCTGAAGCTATCAGAACTGAACGGATTTAGCAATGTCATAAACACCTCTCGAGGGAGTCACCTGGTGTTGAGAACTCACTTTACATGCCGTGTTTCAAAATGAGTTTTAATGGATTTACATTAGATTCAAACCCACTTTCGAGCTATTATTTCTCCCTTTCAACCTTTTCACCCACTACTGCAACGTAATACAGCATCTTCTATAATCACGTTTGCAGGTCCGTGGTAAAGTAAACAGAACTTCACAGGGTTATTATGTAAAGACTCTGCATCACAGCCGTAGGCCTGGCTGTTATTCTTCCTCACCACCCCTTGGGCCCAAAGTACATAATCACCCAGTAATTGAACTGAAACGTCTAAATGGCTAGATCCCCTGAAGGACATAGGTAGTTAGCACCAAAGAAAGTAAGGGATATTTAAAAAAAAACCTCACGGCACTTCCCTGCGCTACTTAGAAATGCTCTGCAAATGTAACTGAGCTGGACCTGCTGGGCTCTGGCAGAAAACAGAGCAATGCAGGGGTCTTTCTGGGGTTGTGACTGAAGTAAAGATTAAACGGAGAACTGTGCTGTACCAGGAAGCAAAGGTCTTACATTCAAATTATGTTCAGAACTGAGGAGAAGGAGCAGAAACACACATACATACACAGAAGTATACATAGCTCCACAGTGTCACTAATACCATGTGAAAGCAAACCCCTCTAGGTCCTCATATTTAACAGCCCCTCCAAAAAGTGTAACGGATAGCAGATCCCAGGCTTTCATACACTGTAACTGTCAAAGCACTCAGGAGATAGAGTAGTGAAGGCTCTGACAGCTCTCTTTTACATTCTAAATGACATCTGCATTCAACAGAACAGAAATAAAGATTAAGGGAAACGCCTGATATGATAGCACTCAGCTTACCTCAGAATGCAATATTTAAAAAGTACAGAGAAACATAGGTCTGCCTTCTTGTACTGTGAGCAAAAACCGGTGTCAAAGCCTCAGAGGTCTTCACGGCTGCCAGAAAGGCAAGTACCGCAGCATCCAACAGACTACAGGGGCAGAAGCCACAGCCTCTGACTGTGTAACTGCTGAAATCAAAAAAGGTGTTTTGCCTGAGAAGGAAGGGAGGAAACAGTCTTTGAATGCACAGAGAAAAGCACTACGGGCACAGTCACAGAGCACAGGAAAATTAACTTGGCCGAAGCCTTTGCAGCCCTGCTTGTACCTCAGCGATGAGAACGCCCGTTGCTAATTGATGGCGCCCCGCTGACTCGGTACCTTTCGCAGCACGTACCTACCACAAATTTCTTTCAAGAGGTTGTTAGGATTACGGCTTCGAATGAAACACGTCAGCATACAGATCACAAGAGATGATTTTGAATAGATTTTTGCCGGTTGATTATATAACGATGCCTCTTATTGCTGGAATAACACCTCAAAGGCAATATAATGACGACATGACAATGTATGTAAATCAAGAACTGCATGTGGGTTTATTTTACACTTGAGAAAACAGTGGATTTAATTGTGTGAACCAAAATGTACTGTACAATATTAATGATAAAACATCAAAATGTATAATTCATAGTGCATTGCTTGCTTTATTTTTATTTATTTATTTTTTGTCAGATAGTTCCTTTAAGTACATGCATCTGGAAAGATGCAGGTGCCAGTAAAATTTCTCTATTTATATCAAGCTGCAGGAACTAAATTTTATTCAAAAAGTGTGGTTTTACATTATATACACAGAAATCGAATATAAAATGACAATATAAAAAGTTAAAAGAGAAAGCATACAGCCAGAAGGTACAAAGAAAGTTGAACAGTTTAAAATGGTACGATATGTAACATGTATTTTTTTAAGCTGATGCTGGCAATTTACAAGGAACAGAATCCAACATTTGCCCCGTTTTTTTTGTTTTCATTTACCAATGCAGCACACTATAGAAAGGTCAGCTTGTACCAAAGCTTAACATTTGTAAATAACTATAAACTGCAGTATTTTACAGGAAAAAAAAAAATAAAGGAAAAAAAAAAGAGCATTTTTACACTTATTTTAAATAACAGCTTGCATACTTTTTTTTTTTTTTTTTGCCAAAAAGTGGCAATTCTCAGCATCCAGAGGGTTTGGGCATAGTGGCAACTTGCCTTTTTTTTAAATTGTTATTTAACTTATACAGTTGTGGCTTCCTAACCCCTTGAGTACTACACAGCTCTCCTTCTTCCAAGGACTGCATGCACAATTTCTTCACAAACCAGTTCTGCATTAAAAAAAAAAAAGAAGCTCATTCATTTAAAAAAAAAAGAAGTTCTGCTTTCGACACAGCTTTTATTTGAATGAAATGCCTTTAAGCCTTTTGTTTTGCTTTTTCTTATTTACTCATTTAGTCACTGGGAAAGGCACAGAAATGCTATTACAGTTCTCAGAGGGTTAAAACTTGACACTACCAGGTTCTGTGACCTTTATTGTCATGGCAACTTTGTAATTTTAGGATGTCTCGTTATCATTGTTCTTTGTGTCTTTCTTTACGGCTAAATTAATGTCTCTCAATAGTGTCTCCCACTATATTCTACAAAAGATAGCTTAACATCAAGGACAGATGTTGAAAATAAAGGTCAGACTTTGACTCACAAAAAATAAAAACAGAAATAAAAAATAACCATGCACAGATCAGACAAAGAGCATATAAATATAACTACAAAATAAGTGTAAGAAAAACCAAGGTCCAGATAGGCAGTTCAGCAACAAAAGTAAGACTGATTTCAGAGGCTCAGGTCAGGCCTAGTGCAGTACTATGAAGAAGTTTAGTGCAATGTTCCTGTGGTCACTTGCATACCTGGCTGCTTACCTGGACGCTATTGTTTTTCTAACTCAGTTACATAGATCAGATGGTCCTCTGGGGACTTGCCATGTGTTTTACTAAGGTGCAGTTTGACTGCATGCTTGCTTGCAAAAGTTCGGTTACAGAGCTTACACTGGAATGTGGAGCCTAAGTCCTCCTCGGCAATTCCAAGTGAGCCCAAAGTCTTGTTTGTGAGGACTTTTGAAACATTCTGCTGTTCTTGAATCTGATTAAGTGGCAACTTCGACAGATCCTTCAAACTAAACCCTAGGTGTGTCTCTAAGTGACTTATGTATGTAGAAGCAGTCCTGAACTGAGAGGCACAATCATTGCAAAAGAAAACAGGATGTCCTGTGTCCAAGTTCTTTAAAAACTTAGTTCCACCTGTCCTCCTTAACTGATATTTCACATTGGCCAGCCAGTGGCTAATTGTGGTCATGGAAAGACCAGTAAACTTAGAGATGTGTACCCGCTCCTGCGGACCTAAGTCCGACATAATGTATTTGCCTTCTGGAGTCTCCCTCAAGCTGGAAGCAAACTGGGCTTGAAGGATTAGAAGATGCTGAGGGTTCCAGTTGGACTGTCTGCCCTTCCTCTTGTGTACTGGTGAGAGTTCATCCAGGGCTTCCTCAAAACTGCTCCCGTCAGCATCAGACTTCTCTGACACGGTAGACGGAGTCGAAGACTTGGGTGTCAAACGCCCTGTGAGGTTCTTCACCATATCGGAGATATCCAGCAGGGCACTCTCCCTTAGCGGGGACGAGGCAGAGTCAGCCACGCTGGAAACAAGAGGTTTGTTTTTGGACTTCGTTAAATCAATAGGTTGATCACTGTTCTCATAGTAATACCGGTCGATAGCATCAGCCTGCTTGACCGGAGTGGTTGGGTAAATGGGTTTGTCCAGCATGCTGTTGCTAATTTTGTACAGCATAGCTAAAGGGTCCAGAGAGGGGCTTACCGGCTTAGATATTTTGCCTAAGTGCGTATTCATAATGGACTGTAAAGCGCTCAGTGGATTAATGAAGGATGGCTCAGGTGAATGATCTGTGATGATTCCTAAGTTGTTACAGCCATTTGCAACCTTTGTCTTAAGCGGCTCTGTACCATTTGGCGTATGTGCTTCTGCTGGACTATCCTTTTTGACCTTCTGAACTTCTGTCTCAGAGCTCTTCTTCTGCTGCTGTTTGTTATTTATTTCTTCTGCTTTTGGGAAGTCCTTGTTTTCTTTAGCAGCAGGTGACATGGGTTTGACTGGAGAACTCTTCTCTTTCTCCAAAGGCTTTTCTTCCTTCTTCACGCTGATTTTACCTGTAACTTTCTCCACCAGTTCTTCCATAGCAGACACATTGCTCTTGTGAGGTGGGGGTGTGAGATTGCCTGGGGAATGGATGAGCGCATTGTGTTCGGAGGACAGAGACTTTACACTGCTGGCGTAAGACGGCTGCATCTGAACGCTCTGCACCGCGGGCTGAAGGGGTTTGACTGTTCCCGGGAGCTGGTAAGCTGCATGAATACTGGGATATCCTCCCCAGGAAGGGGCTCCATTCTGAGCTTTGCTGATGGCTGTTGTCACCGTGTTCTCCAGGGATTTCAATATGTCTATTCCACCTTTAGGACTATCATCTAGGTCCTCCTCTCTGAGGTACTGATACAAAGTTGTTGGCTCAAATTTCTCCGTGGAGTCCTCATTCTCTTCTTTAATCTTTTTCTCTGTTTCACTGACCACCACCTTCTCCTTCTCTAGGTCTTTCTTTTCCTCCGAGTTTGTGGAGCCCGCTGGGGAATCAGGCTGCTTTTTAACGTTGGAGGCTTGTAGTCTTGTGTGGGTGGTGGGTGGAAGAGGTATAGACTGTATCTTCTCCTCCACCACAGGGTCCAATACTAGCTGTTTGCCTTTTTTGGAAGCAGAATTGGTCACCTTCAAGAAATGACCAGTGACCATCATGTGAGCAGTGAGCTGCTGCAAAGTGTCGTGGGAACTGCCACATTCCATGCATTTCAGTATTTGGGCTTTGCGCGCCTCAAACTGCCAAGTGTAGCTAGCACCATTTTGATAGCCATAGCGGTTGTTTGGAGTCACATAGGGGTTGGCAGTTTTCTGATCCTTTGCAGACTCACTCAGCGAAGCTTCTGCAGTGATCCCCGTTGGCTCAGGTGAACATGGTGAAGCTAAGTCCTGAAGTGCTCGCTTTTTGGTAGAAGGGACCAATTTAGTGATGGCTGGTACTGGCTCCTTCAGAGGCACTTTCTGGTAATGCTTTGTTTTTATCATATGGACACTGAGGTCTTGCAAAGACTCAAACGAATGCCCACAGTACATGCACTTCAGCACTTTTTGGGCATCCTCTTTGCCTTCCATCTCCATAAGTGATCGTTTTCTAGGCTTTGACCACCGTTTGGTCTTATCAGCTTCTTTATCTCTGTTGTCATCACGGTAATGTCCAGTTTCGTTCATGTGCACTGTTAGCTCCACCAGTGTGTCATAGGCTGCACTGCAGTCTTTGCATCGGAACTTGCTAGCACCGGTGAACACAGACCCATAAAGTTTATTGTTTTGCCGGTACAGCTGTACTGTGCTGAAAAGACTAGGCTCTGGGAGCAGTCCGTACGATGAGGTCTGCTGCAAAGTTTTAGCTAATGCAGCCTGGTGCCAGTCATAACCTGAGCCACCACTGTTACTATTACTGTTACTAGTAGTACTGGTAGTTGTACTGGTACTAGTGTTGGTACTGGTAGTACTAGTACTCTGAGAATTGGCATTGGTGTCGGTAGTGGTGGTGTTTTCACTCTGGCTGATTCCGTTGTTGCTGGTGGTTGGGTTGGATTTCTTTAAGTCCAAAGCTAAACTGGACCAGCAAGTCTCTGAAAGCAAATTTGCATACACAGCTTTTATTTGTGCCAAGCTGTCCTGTGGATAGGAAACATTGTCTGTGCACTGAGGATCCTCTTTCTCTTCTTTAGAGGAAGTGCTTTTGAAATGGGCCAGCTGATCGCTGTTTTCACTAAACGGCGAACCATAGCCTGCATCCTGATTAGTTGCAGTGCTGACTGGGGAGTTCTGGTAGCTTTGAGCCTCTTTGATCTCCGCTTCTTCATTGCACAAATACTCATTCTCCTGGATGTCCAGAGACAGCCCATCATCTTCCACGCTGTCTTCATCTATTTCTGCTGCTTTCAATTCCTCCTCAGGAACATATGCTAAAATACAGGAGGGGAGAGAGGGAGGTAAAACAAGACAAAGTTATCAAACATGCACATTTTACATTGTTGCTGTCTTCTGTATCAGAAGCAGTAACCATAAAGACAAAATTTTGAAGATACATCCAGAAACCAAACTCACCATCACTCACACACTCCACCTATAAATCCACATACTCTGTCCTGGGCACAGTTTGATATCAGTGCTATCCAAGAATAAACTTTGACTTCAGCAGTAAAATATGTGCCAGGACCACAGTAGGTACCGTAATATCAAAACCAAAATCAAACAAAGAGCCTACTAAACCAGTTTTTATCAATTTGAAAAACAGCCTGGCACTGAGCTGTGTTCACTGAACTGCGCATGCGCAACACGTTGCAGCTGACCTGCGCCCCTCAGACCTAGGCACTCAGAACCACTGGCTTGGCCAACTCCATCTCGTCCAGGCAGCCTTTTCTGGCAAACTGGCTTTAGCTACAGCTGTCTTCAAGGGCCATTTCTGCGTCACTGACACCTGACCCTAGCGGAGCTATACAGGGGAAGTGTGTCAGGTTAGCTGTTCCAGGGTCTCCTGGCGGCTAGCTGTACTGGGTCCATTTAAGAGCAGAACAGCTTTCATTTTACAAGGTGAAAAGAGAAGCAAGACTATGATCGTTTTCTGAAATGGCTAGGATATACTTTGCCTCATGTTACGATCTGATGTAGGGCCTGCATTTGCCATTTGGAAACAGCAGTCAGCAACTAACAGCAAATGTTAGAGAATAATTTTTAAAAGCCACAAACAAAAAACTTGAGAACTCCACCCAGCTTGATGACTGGCTTAAGGTAAATATAAAACTTTGCTATTGTATTGCCACCTGGTGAAACCATATAATCTTACCAAACTATGTGTTTATCTGTATCAAACTATTTTTTAAACTAGCAAATGTGATACTCATGAGCAGATGGCCGTTACATCAAAACACATTTACTCCAAGGGCCCAATTCACAGAAGTGGCTTACATGTACCTAAGTGATAAACATAAACTTTCACTGCAAAGCAGAAAACATACTTGTACACATTTCCCTCCAATTTCGTAAAACAACCTTAAAAAAAAAAATTACAGTGATAATGGAATGTAGATCATTTACAAGCATGTCAAGGTAGAAAACAAGGGTTGTGAACAATTTTCAGTGACCAATTAAAAAAAAATGACTCCTTGTCAGGTGAACCGTGCAGCAAGTGATGCTGAAATGTGGTCTATGTCCTTCCATGGTACAATACTGAAAGAAAGGCAGAAAAAGAGGCACTTCTGGTCCTATGTGATATGAAGAAAATACACACTACCACATTAACAAAGCTGAAGTCTTCTTGAATTGGGGGGAGCATAAGTACAAGTTGAGCTTCTTTTTGTACACAATTGTTTACATATTCTGAAACTTCGTTTCTGAAAAATAATCTTTTCTCATTGTAATATAAACACTCTTCGTAATTTTTTTTTTTTTAATAAGAGTATTTTTTGGCCAGTACTGTATACTGTATTCACCTTTGCAATTCAGTCTTAATGTAGCCCCCAACTACTTCAGTCTGATCTTTTAAGATAAAGTAGAAAAGTAGTTTGTCTAGTACTGGGGTAGTGCTGAACCTTAAGATGCCCACTGCATCTTTCATCTGCCCTCTCAGTGTGAATTTTTTTCTGGAACAGAACGTGATCTTTCGGTTTTTAAAAAAGTGTTAAGTGGGGCCCAGTTCCTTACAGATGCATCAGCCTCTGGTGTTTTGTAATATGTTTGAAAGGACTGGTGAGTACCAAGCACAACAGAAGTCACTGCCGAAATCAACCTGGAGCCAAAGGCCAGGAAGATGCCAGAAAAGCATCATAAAACCAAAAAAAAAAAAAAAAAAAAATCTTAAAAGTGCATTTAGTCCATAAAATGACGAATAAAATACAGAAATAGTAAAAGAACTAAGAAGTCGGTCAGCTTCCCGGTGCTGCAGTAATGCTGCTGTTGAAACGCTCTGCAGGGATTTGAGCACAGTAGTACCAATGCAGTTCTGAACTCTTGGTACGCACGTAGAACGCACTCCCACAGCTACAATCTAAGATCTCCTAGCTCTCTCATTATATACACCTGTTTTCAGTAATTTCTAACAGCAAAAGCCAATACATTTTTAAGTTGAAGAAAAGTAAAGAACAGTTTTAGAAGAATATTTTTTCTGATTCTGAAATTACTTTTAAATAATAAAAAAAAAATACTCTGAGGCCTGCAATGCATAAAAATGGACAGTTACCATCTGGTATTTTTATTTAAAAAAAAAACCCAACAAAACTTAGTAATGATCAGCAGACAGTCATCAAGCAGAAGTTGAAAACTGAGGGGGCCTGCATTCTGAGCTTTTATGAACAGCTGTCTTCTTACTAACCTCAGTGGAACTATGCAGAATTTCTCTAATTTTCACGTCCCAATATTTTTAATAAATAGATGTAAGAAACTTGTATGATGCTGAATGTTGCTATAGTTAATACAGCATTTTGTAAGAATCCAACTGTATTATCTGCTTACAACTCTTTAATTAATTCTAAAATGCATAAATATATATTTTTATAATTGCTTTATATAACCATCTAAATATCTGCTTAAGCAGAAACTCTAGTTAAGCCACTACCATATCTTTTATTTTCCTTTATTTATTTATGACGGTGTGTTTTCTCTATTCTGGTACTTTTGCACTTTACCATAAAAATAAAAGGACTAAACCATACATGAAACGTTAAAACTACATGAAAGGTCAGTGTTAAACTGTCAAAGCAAAGAAACTGAGTGTTAGGGTGAAATATCCATCTTTTACTTACTTTCTCAGTCTCAGGTTCTGCTGAGACTACTACATGATTGAGTTCACTCCCTTACTAATATATACTGCAATATAAGAGTCAAGATGTATGATTGGCCAGGACTCTGATTTTCTATGATTTCAGAATTTAAGCCAGATTCTGAAAAAAAAAAACCTCATTTACATGATGTGCACACCCATATGCCTGTACAGTTATCTGAAATAGCACACAGACATACTGCTTCTTAAACAAAAAGACAGTAATTTATCTGAAATGTTTAATTTCTATCACTTCAATCAAAAAGATTTTATTTACCTCCTTTAGTTACCATAGGATACATACAATACCTTTTCATTCAAGACCACTAATGTTTGTAAGATTAATAGCAGCACGCTCGACATATGGTATTTTGCAAGGTCAGTGCAATTCTCTAACTGAAAAGATTTCTGTTAAAGATAATTCAGAAGCATATAAAATGAAGAATGTTAATTTCTAAAAACATGTATGTTTTACCAAATTCTCATAGAAATTTGACAAATAAGCTTCAGAATTTTAAACACAGCAAAAATGTTCATATTATAAATACTTGCAGAGACAACTAATCTTATTCTACACGAAATAAAAACATGAGATGTTTAGTTTCTCTCCCTAAATTGTAACAGGTATCTCAATAGACAGACAGATTTCAGACAGGATCTTTCTGCGACTGAGAAACTCTCAGGAATCTTCTCCAGATATTTCTGCATATGCAAAGACTCTGGTCTACTTGTGTCCTGAAACCACACACAAATACCAAGAGCAGATATAAGCAGTGATCCCCCTCAACAAAAAACTATATCCAAAGTGGAAGGAAATACAGAACATAATGTCAGCTTTTCTTTTCCTTCTCATTTGTGCATGCACAGACTCAGGCAAACGCATAGCAGAAACAGGGGAAAAAGCTTCAAATTCCAGACAACTAAAAATTAGGGGGAACAGTTTGTATTTCTTTTCTTCTTATTAAGTCTAATAAGACTAATATTTTTTTGCCCAGAAAATGTGCCTTCTGGATGCCAATGCTTCCCCATAGATACACTGTCATCTTTGAGCAGTGTTAAAAGCTGTGCATTCTAATCCAAGTGGACATGAGATGCTATATATTGTACATGTGAGTAGCACGGCACATTGTGTTTGCTTCAGTGAGAATATTTACACTACAAATACACATCCATTGTTTGAGGAAGCAGACAGAGATCCAAAATGTAAGAATGTGGTTAAAAATATAAATATTCTCACATAAAACCTTTCCATAACCTCAGAGCGGTGCTTTTGAAGGCATCTGTCTCTGCAGAGGTATTCTTTTCCATTCAAAAAGGGATTCAGCATTGAATACATTATTTTGAAAAGAACAAAAAATAACGATTGTATTTGTTTTTAACAGTCTACAAAATTGAATGTAGTAAACGCTTCAAAATCTGATTTTAAATCCTCCAAACAAATAAATTTATTCAGAAGTAACACTTAAGTACTGAAGGCCACAATTCAGTAAAGCAACTGAAAGCTGACATAATTTTCACTGAAATACATATTTCATAGTTTCTACAAATAGGGATGAGTTTAACTCTAAAATTCTTCACTAAACCAGGGCCTACTCTGAGACTAAACAGTAGTGGCATGATGTGAATGTTCACCATTCTTCAACAGATGTATTTCCACAGCTTCTAATATTTACCCAGCCAACAGGAGACAGCAGCTGCAGAAGTTTTCACAGCCTGCACTGTCACCTTGCACAAACTGCATTCTGGGCTGGGGGTGATTTCCACTGCACACAAGAATATGTTTCACATCTTGAGCAAAAAAGTACAGATAGAAACTACAATCTATAGCCACACATCTCCTTCATTACACAAAAACGAGAGGGAGAGGAAAAAAACCCATCTACAGATAAGTTTCCAGAATACAGAGTCACACGAGTTTTACAAAAGAATCCAAAATCTCACATAGTGAGAGGTTAACATGCCTGCTGGAAGATTTGCAAATTTTCTATATTAGTATATACAAATGTTCATACAAAATTCTGGCACAGATGCTACAAATCTGTGTGTGTGTCTGTATTACAATGTCACTACAGTGGAAAAATATGGCTTAGTTATGACAATGGCTGAGAAGCAGCACAGACTATCAGACAACCAAATAACCTTACTACA